GTTCATTCAAAAGCCCCGGCTGTTTTTTCCTCTTTCCTTGCCCCGGAGAGAAGTCCGCGAACCGTGAGACGCATTCATCGTATCCCGCGGGGACTTTCCCTAGCTAATGCGAGATGAAATTACAGCCCCCCGGGGTTCCGGTCGACAGTCACGCCGTCTACTCGAAAGACACTAGCGGTGGCCTCCACCTCCGGCAGCTTCTCTTTCAGGTTCTCTTGCCTTTGGTTTCTTCGTCCTTCGAGTCCCCTCCACCACCGTAGCCCTCTCTATCCTTTCGAATGCTCGTACACACGAGGAGGGCATTCGTTTCAACTCGTTTAGTCGCTGGCTAGAACGAACGTTTACCCTTACAAAAAGCTGCCCTTAATCTTCAACAGAACCCGACCGCCCCTTCCCACCGGCGTTTTCAAAGGAGACTTTTCTAGTTATTGAAGAAGAATATTCTGCCGGCTTTAACGAGATAACTTGTACCTTTACAATCAAGGATTGACAGTCATCGATACCGTTCCTCTTCCACGAGCCTTCTTCTTTTGCTCTGAAGAATGTACATAGTCGGCTGTGTGTAATGCCGATGATAGCAGGATTTGTCTCTGTTAGAAATTTCTGATTCGAGATTATTGTAGGATGTCAGGGAATGCCAGGTTAGCTTGATTTTGATGGCGTTTTATTACCTTCGTGCAGGTATTCGCGAAATATCAGTTTCGGTATTGATCTTCGCCGTTGTACGTTTTGTTTCACAGTTTGTGGTATTGGACGACGCCGCTGCCAAAGTCAGTGATTGTGGGTCAATTTGATTTGACTCGTGAAAGGACGATCCGTTATATTTTATTCGATCGAGCGGTCGGCATGACCTATTTGATCGTTTTTATAAATTAAACTCGCGTTTGACCGATTGATGTTACAATTTGCACGCCATCACTATTCTGCTTCTGCGGCATCATGATTCATTGCGTTCTATTGTATCTAAATGAAATGTGATATCCCAATTCTGCGTTATAGAAGCCTTTTACCACAGAAATTAAAAACGAATAATACAATTAATGCATTGCGCGGCGTTCGTGTATCAATCATACCTATATAATATAACAGATTTCTAAAGAGTTCTCCATCAACCGTTTAATTCGTATTAAACTCTCGAATAACGAAACTTCCAACGAGACTTTTCCTGATTCGCCAGTCCCCAGAATGTTCCCGGCAATTTTCAAGCGTGTTAGGAAAATCAAAGGGGCCTCGAGGCTCTAAAAAAAATAGGCATATTATTAAAGACATGAAGAACGTGGATTTATAGCCACCGCCGCGCAGCTTTGTACTCATCGAAATGAAAAAAGCCAGGTTATTTCTCGACGTCATTTACATGTTGCCGCGTTCAGAAAAAGTTCTCCTCGTCTATGAGATTTCGCGTATGGGCACAATAAAATATGTATGATCCGCGGTGATATAATTATGAGGCTAAATGACTTCGTCGCCGGCGGGGTAGCCAGGATAAACCAGCCACGGAAATACGCTCGTTGGTAACAATAACGGCAGAATGAATAACAAACATCAAAAGAGCGCGACACGTTTTTTGCACGCATTTATGCGTAAACAATGCCCGCGGAAGAAAAGAACGCGCGTCGTCGCGACGCGCACTACCAAAGAGCAACTCGCAAAGGCGGGGTTCACCTCTAATTACGGTCCCGGGTTCTGACAGTTAAAACAAACGCATAATGTATCACGGTAATAGAGTTACCTTTTTTTCTGATAACAATGATCACGCTCTTTCAACGCGAATTCGTTTAAACTTCGCTCACCGCGTGGAACAAAGGGGCCACAGCTTTTTGCTGCCAGTTATAAAACTGCGCCACCGACAAAGTATTGAAAAGTTGACTCGAATGACTGGGCGAAGTTCAACAAAGTTATACTACCCAACTTTCGATCAATAATAGCTTAAGAAGCTCTGGTTACTTCGCGTCCGTACAACACCTTTTCATTAACGCCAATGATAGAACACGGTCGACGCCGTTTATCGAATAATTCAGGAATATTTTCTACGCTCGGGGACGCTATCGAAAATGTCCGCGAATATTTCTGTCGCCAACTTCCCAAGAATCGTTTCTTAAGGAAGTTTCAATAAAAAATCATTCATTTCGTCGATATGAAAACCTTGCAGAGACTAAAGCTAACAAACTTCCATAATGATATCGATCTCCCGTAACATCACACGATGAGATCGAACGCAATCAACTAACCAGAAGAATAACAACGATCATACTCAACAAAGTTTCTTTTGGACGGTAATAATTTCAAGTCTCCGGAAATCTATGGGTATCCTACAATTCCATCTCCACATGCACCACAGAAATAAACGATCACGTACCCTTTTCTGATTTAAAGACCACCAGCTGGCGTTTTCTCACAAGCCCGAAGCCCGACGGTTCCGATCATCATTGAGATCCCGGTAGCTGGTTCGCTCCCGATAGTTGCACGCGTGACGCGAAGTTTCGAGCAACGTCGGCGATAAAGAGGGATAGGCGTTCCTCGCTGCGCATTACGCGTACGGTTCGGCTAAGTCCGCTCCATGAAGTTTACAGGGGTAGAGAGAGAGGAAAGCCGAGACCCGCTAATGCGTCGTAAATCGTTTCTCTCGCTCGGCGCGCAAGTCAACCGCGGAGATTACACTCGACCGGCGGGGGTAGTCAAAAGTGACTCTCTGCAGCTTAGTCAAGTATCCGGTCTTTACAATGTAGTAGAGAGAGAGAGAGTTACAGCGAGAGAAGGAGAGAGAACTCTAGAGAGCGCGGAATCCCGGCGGCTCCAGTGGTATCCGTACCGTGAAAAGCTTCGGCCCAGCTTTCGGTCGTTCAGTGACGTCAGTCTCGGAGTTCCAGGCAAGGGACACGGACCCAGGGAAATCGTCGAAAAACCGGGCTTGAAATCAAATGAGTTTGCTTAGGCGAAACAACGGAGAGAGTTTCGTGAACGTAATCAAGCAGCCGTGGATCGGCGCCGCTTGGAGAAGGGAATTCGGGCACCCAAGCCGCAAGGAGCGACGAGTTCTGTCCCCTCAGCGATTTAAATTTCCGCCCGAAGGCTGGGAATAGCGGAGCGAGGCGAGCAAACGAGCGAGAGGATCGTTCGTCGAACGACGGGGGCCAGTGATGGGATAAGTGCGACGCAATAGCTTCTTAATTACCGGAAAACTCGTTAGAATCTGTCTGGTCGGTGAGATATTTCACTGCTGCGAGGACGGGCGGAGGCTTCCAGCCGAGCCAATACCCGCGCCACGACAAAGAGCACCCGGTTACGCGTACACCGTTCCAAAGAGAAATGAAATCGATTTGCATTTACGAAGAATTCTGATTGCTCGCCGAACCATCGCCACGCAGCAATTTCCTTTGCCAATTTCAAGATTATTACCTGCATCGTTGGAATTGCTTGCACGGTAACATCAAACGATTTGATCTTGCGGGGCGAACACTAAATTAGAGGAAGTACCACGGAGCCGAGTAGGAAAGAGTAACCTCGTTACCTGCGCGAAAGTAATATACTTTCTGGGATCATGCGCGGATACGCGCGTATCGGGAATCTGTACAGATTCGACACCGGCGGTGTGCGAAACGATTCGGATTGTGAAAATGGTAGACGCGGTCGCGTGTTGGGGTAATGCTAAACAATTTCGGTGAAGTTTCAGAAGGATGAAAGACGTGTATCAACTTCGTAGAAAGAACTGTCCATAGAATTTACTAATGTACGAGTTGTTTCAATATAATTTTTCTTATTGCAGATGAATAATCGCAGATTGGTAAGTTGAACTGATTACGGGACACTGGATAGTTTCAAAGCGGAAGCAGATATTGTTACGAAGCGTCTGGAGTTTTACACTTAGGGTACGTGGGCTTGCCTCGCACACCTATTTCACTAACTGGTATCCACCAAAATCTTCGTGCCTGCTGTACATTATTAAACGCAACTGTCCTTTTTATGAAATACTTCCAAAATTCCATCAACCTTCTAAACACTGCGATATGATGTTCAATTAACCTGTAATTTTCACAACAGAAGCTTATCTCCTGCGATATCATTTTGCCTCACCCCCAAGTTCACCGAGAAGATTAAAGAACAAATGAAATATCATTTTTCCACTCATTATACTGTAATACTAATGAACATAAACTCCCAAGAAATACAATAACTCCGTTCCCCCAAACTACCAAGGACAAACTACCCCTATCAATGGTAGCTACGCAAGACATCCCAAAGCAGAGTCCAATGCATTCCCAGAGGCGTAATGCACACCACAAAAAAATTCCTCAGAAACGTTCGATTCCTCGAAGAGAACACCCTCCCAGTAGCATCTCCATCCACTTAACCACGAACGTAGCCCGTCAATCGGAATCAACTGGCATCGGTTTCCGGTGCGCTAGGGCCGCGCTGGGTAGTCAGCAGCTGGGACAAGGAGCGACACAACAAATGCACAAAGCCGGCCTGCCGCTTTTCAACATTGTACCGCGCCGTAACTCTTTTCCACG